GTCCGCCCGCCCCCGCCTGCAGCGTCCGGCTCCCCCATTGGCCGAGCCGCCCTGCCAGTCTGCACGGGCCTGCCTTGTGTTGCAGCCAGGCCAGGCAGCTACAGCTCCACTGCCTGCCTACAGTGTGGGCGGGTGTCATTGCAACCCCTCACTGGCCCTTGGAATCGGGCTGCGTCCAGACTGGCCAGTTTTCCCGGAAAATCAGCCACTTTCCCGGAAAAACTTGCCAGCTGTCTACACTGGCCGCTTGAATTTCCGCAAAAGCACAGACTTCCTGCTGTCTGAAATCAGGGCTTCTTGCAGAAATACTGTGCTGCTCCCGTTCGGGCAAAAGTCCCTTTTGCACAAAACTTTTGCGCAAAAGGGCCAGTGTAGACAGCTCAGATTCGTTTTCCGCAAAAAAGCCCTGATCGCGAAAATGGCGATTGGGGCTTTTTTGCAGAAAAGCGCGTCTAGATTGGCCACGGACACTTTTCCGCAAAAAGTGCTTTGGCAGAAAAGCATCCGTGCCAATCTAGACGCTCTTTTCCGAAAATGCTTTTAACAGAAATCATGCCAGTCTAGACGCAGCCACTCTGTATATGAGAACATGATATTCTGCTCTGCGTTTTTAGCAACAGATTTATTAACTAAGACCCAATGGCAGACTCTTCACTGGGATGGTGAAAGAACCCAACTTGGGCACAGACATCCCAAGTTAGTTTTGAAGAGCTGGTCGTTGGAAGAAACGTTTATAATTTAAAAATTGAGGAGATTGAATTAGAAAGTTACAGACAAAAATAGAGGGATGCCATCTTTAAAGTCACTTCTTAAAACAGAGCTGCATTTAAAAATTTACTTGATCTCTGTAGTAAATATTGAATAGTTTCAGAAACTAAATAAGGGTTTTGGGAAACCAAGTGTGTGTCTTTCTGCTCTGAAAGGGTAGAATTGTTTGTGGTGACTTAACTCACTCTTGCATAGGTTCCGTGATTTCTGCTTTATATCCATATCTCATTTTTGTGGATGCGGATACAAATTTTGCATCTAGAACCCTGCACATTTGTGGATATCCACTTTATATCTGCGGCTATGGATGCAGGTATCTGTACCTCGTTTTTGTGGATACAGATGCCAGTACAAAATATTGAAATCCACGAGACTGCATCTTGCTTAATTTCTCTTAGAAACACACCTAAACGATTCTGTAGAGTAGACTATAGGGGGATTTACAAAGGCTAGCCTGCTGGTTAGATTTTACATTTATTTTGTACCCAGTAGGAAGCAGAGAAGCGCATTGTGAAAATATCTACATAGGCTTGCTTTCTCTTTTCAGAAACAGCAATGGTTTGCTTTGGAAACATGTTTATTCAGCTTCCAAAATCAAAGACTAAAGAAATGATTCAGAAAGGTAAGACAGATGTCAGATTTCTAAAGTCTGTTTGAAAACTCAAGCGTCAGCCAGTATTGAACAAGGGTTTTTTTTTGCATACCGTGGACACAGACACAGGAGTTGTCAGATGTGTGGTACTTGTGCTAATTTAGTTGCTGAGTTACTCTCTTTACCGACTTAGAGCTTTTGCACGCGGGGCTTTTATTCTTGCTGCCATGTAGAAGCTTGGCTCCTACCTAGCACTTCTCATCCCTAGGCCTCAAAGTGCTTTACAGAGAAGGCTTAATTACGAGTATTTATATTTTACAGATAGGGAGATTGAAGCACAGAGGAGTAGCTTACCACACACAGAGCAGTGGCAGAATAAGGAGTAGAACTCAAGTTTCCTAATACGCAGGTTATTGTTTTATCCCATGTGCCAACCTGCATTGTGAACCATGTACCCTGTGTTTCCTTTTCAAAGCGTGGCACAGCATTCTTGAGGCAGATCAGAGGAAGAGGCACTTAACTCAGCTGGGAAATAAGATGGTCTCTGTCCAAACCACACACAGAGCAGTGGCAGAATAAGGAGTAGAACTCAAGTTTCCTAATACGCAGGTTATTGTTTTATCCCATGTGCCAACCTGCATTGTGAACCATGTACCCTGTGTTTCCTTTTCAAAGCGTGGCACAGCATTCTTGAGGCAGATCAGAGGAAGAGGCACTTAACTCAGCTGGGAAATAAGATGGTCTCTGTCCAA